GGAGATTGATCTTATGGAGAATTACGGTCAAGTATGAAGTATTTTGCGTCTTTCTTCTATTTTAATACTTTTTTGAAATAAAACATAAATAAAGGAATCAGTGCTGTTGTAGAATCTATACTTAAATTTTAAAAGCATAGGAATGGATTCAGATAACTGGAGTTAAGACAATAGACAAACTGTGTCATGGTGTGTACGAGTATTCGTATTCCTCGTAATAATGACAAAAATAATAATGCTGTCTTACTGAAACTTAAATTTTTATATTAAATTATTTAATTTTAAAACAATTTTATTGTTAAAATGTGTAATCGGACTAGCAAGTCCAGAATTTTGTACTTATTTAACTATACATTTTTATATATTTACTTTTTTGTGGACCTTAAAGAGAGCGAAAACTCAGGAACTATAAAAATTTTCAGCGTTAATCTTATCTGTTTCCTTAAAAATACTTCGCAACAGAAACCTTTTAATACAATAGAAAAAAAAGATAGATGGCAAAAAAAAAAAAATTGAATTACACGCTCTTTTAAACAATAAATTTACTGTTTTGCTCACTATTTTCTGGTGCTACTACCTCTAAGCACCATTTCGAAAAAATCATCACCAACTACTTAAGTGACTATTTTTTTAAATATTTACAATGTACGCGCACTCACACACATAAACTAACATGAAATCGTTTCCGCTTCCGTTTCATATAAATTTTTCATTTAACGTGCCTGAACTTGCTCGAAATCCCACAATGCTCAGAATAAGCTTATTTGTTTGCCTGTGCTGATTTGGAGTTCTTGTTATGTTATGGCATCTCATCAAAGCGTATCCAAACGAAACGTAAAAAAACACATAAAAATCATAAATAAAATCTACTCCAAACACGATTTTCCGTGAAGGCCTTTACAATGCTATTCCTGCCGTCTTTGTTTGGCTCATTTTCGGAAGAGTGGAAGTGGTATCGCAGATGGAAAGGGTGGCTCTAAGCCGAATATACACTTTTTGTACCTCATGTGAAACGTGTAGTTTGTACTTTTATTTATACAATATATATATATATATATATATATCTATTTATATATATTAGTATCTGTAAATATAAATATATATATACTCGTATTTTCATAGCGAAGTTTTCGTGCAAAAACTTTAGAATGGTGTGGCGCAAAATCTTAACCAAAATCGAATCAAATCCTTAAAGCGCCTACTTCAGACGATGTGGTTAACTAGGAAGCAGTCGTAATGTAAGTAGTCAAAACTGGTACAAGTTATATGCTTTGTGGAGCACGTGATTGTTGGGTTATTAAGAGTTAAACGCAATATCTTTAATTTAAAATAAGTTTAAAATGCAAAGGAATCTCACATTCAATTTTTTACGAGTAATAACACCAAAATATATGATATATGCAGGGTTATATATTTTCTTTGTATTTGGCGGTTAAGTGTGCAATACAACGTCATTTAATTCTGCTTCACTGGACATTTTACAATACTGGATATATAGTAGTTTTCGGTGATTTTTCATCATATAACTGGCAATATCTGGACCGTAACTTGTCGGAAGCGTTATTCGCATAAACACGATATTTTGCTTAACCCTACTCAAAACGTCGGTTGTTAATCGATCTCATTAGACCAGCACTACTTTATGGGTGTGTCGTGTATAGCAAAGCTGCCGACTTTACTAACCAGAAGCTTTAACTTGCTCAAAGTAAGGCTCTCTGAAAACACTTCAAAGTGCCATGAGTCGTCCGTACGAATGACATGCTAAGAGATCTTAAAATAGACCTGGTCAAAAAATACATAAGGGACAGAGCCCTGAAGCTATATGCGAAAACCGATAGGGTACTTAGCACTATCTAATCTCAGAGTAATCACTAACCGCACGGGGCGGTACGCAGATCTTAGATCAGTCATTGAATAATCATGAAGCGTATGAGGAATATACAAATTAGTCAGTGAAATGGGTAGGAGTCTGCAGAAACCTCCCATCCTAGTGCCGAGATGCACTAACTCGGAAGGTACTCAATATAACATTATTTAGGTATCCAATTGATATAACCAAATTGTGAAATTATTCGGTAAACTTTTCGCGCAACAAATTCGAAATGGGACAGATTATGTGTCTTATGTCAACTTCTTGTTGATACCACATGTCTTCCACATCCACTACTTTAATTTCACATTAAAAAATTAATAGTTATGGTGTTTTCAACAATCAGTTTGATTGACACTGTGTTGTATCTTACACTGACATGAGTTTTTGTGGATGATGGTTAGTTGTGGACTACTACTGGCTTGCCTCGGCTTGGCATTATCACCAAAGAAACAAGTAATCTCATCACTAAAGATATGCCTAATACAGAATTATCATTTTTACTGTAAATTTTTAAAAATTTAACATATTCTGCAGAACTTAAGCCATCTATATTGTAAATAATAGTTCCAAGAAGACTGATGATTTGGCAATACCCGAAATAGGTGTATGGTCAGCCAAAAATTTAATTAATTAAAATAACATAAAAATAAAATTTTGTCGTTGTATTTCACCACTTTTCTAAAACCTCTTTTAAAAAATAATATATTTTAGTTTTCTCTGTAATGTGTATTTGTTATATTTAGTTAAACGATATTGGTTCACTAACTCTATTCTCATAAATTGGAGTTTTTCATCGCTTTTATTATTCTAGTATTACACCATTTCCAGAATCGTCAGGAGTTCTGAAACAACTATAATTGAGTTATTTTTTAAATGTATAGAAATGTTTCGTTACTGTATTGATTCCTTGAATCAATAATAAATAAATAATGATAATAATAGAAGTGTTTCGTTAAGCGACTTTTAATATATGTACCTCAAAATTGGTCACATATATGTTTGATATAAGGCATCAATAATATAAGTGTTTAATATTTCATAATGTATAGTAGAATA